GGCCACAGACCTGCCTCCTTGGCAGAATCTGATCACCTCGCATCCCCATCGCTTTGCTCTGACCTGGATCAGAGCTGAACTCTGCAGGCCACTTGATTTACATATTTGCTAGAACCTTGTCTTTCAGAGCCAGCTAAGCCGACTGAATTAGGTCAAACTGTTATTGTCCTAACAATTTTACAGTAAGATTTACAGTCGATGAAGCATAATCAGTTAAGAGATAATTGTTGGCCTTTTAAAACTGGTTGTTTAATATCTATTTAAAATGTGTGTAAATGTCTTGCTGAATTTTCAGTGATCTCCTTAAGGCACAATTCTTTTGTGTTTCCTCTGAACTTGTAATAACCAATAAAGGTATGCAAGTGTAGTTTTAAAAATCGTATGTAATAGTATAAATTTAAAAGGAGGAGAAACAAGCTTATGCATATGTGAGGAATTTCAATATGCATTTTGATTCCTAAAAACTGGCTTTTCTATGAACTCTAAGATTATTCTGAATAGTACAAAACAGATACTAACCATGGATGTATGTCAATGGATCTCATTTTACAAGCTTCCCTGCACCCTAAAGGACACAATTTTAGCATTCCTTATTTCCTCCTAGAGAAAAGTTAGCTAAAAAGTGAAACCAAGATATTTGTGGATGCATGACTTAGATAAGGCCCGCCTGGAAGTAACAGAAAACTCAAAATAGCAATGGCTTAAATAAAACAAATTTCTCTCACGTTAAGAAAGCTGGATATAGTTGGCCCAAGGTTGGAGCGATGCCTCATGTATCAGAGGCTTAGCTGCTTTCTGTTGTTTCTCTGGCTGCCATCCTTAGCCTGTGGCATCCATCCTGTGATCTAACACGGCTGTTTAAATTCATCCAGCACATGTTTTTAATGGAAGTAGAGTTGACCTACAACATCGTGTTAGTTTCTGGTGTACAGCAAAGTGATTCAGTTTTATATATACATACATATGTAAACATACATATATATACATATTTATACATACATATGTAAACATACATATATATACATATTTATACATACATATGTAAACATACATATATATACATATTTATACATACATATGTAAACATACATATATATACATATTTATACATACATATGTAAACATACATATATATACATATTTATACATACATATGTAAACATACATATATATACATATTTATACATACATATGTAAACATACATATATATACATATTTATACATACATATGTAAACATACATATATATACATATTTATACATACATATGTAAACATACATATATATACATATTTATACATACATATGTAAACATACATATATATACATATTTATACATACATATGTAAACATACATATATATACATATTTATACATACATATGTAAACATACATATATATACATATTTATACATACATATGTAAACATACATATATATACATATTTATACATACATATGTAAACATACATATATATACATATTTATACATACATATGTAAACATACATATATATACATATTTATACATACATATGTAAACATACATATATATACATATTTATACATACATATGTAAACATACATATNGCAATCTTGATTACAGCTTGTTCTTCATCCAGCCCAGCATTTTGCATGATGTATTCTGCATGTAAGTTAAATAAGCAAGGTGACAATATACAGCCCTGACATACTCCTTTTCCTATTTGGAACCAGTCTGTTGTTCTATGTCCAGTTCTCACTCTTGCTTCCTGACCTGCAAGAGTCAGTAGTGTTTGTCTTCTAAACTTGCTAGCTATACTTGTTATTGTAATTACATAAGGCAACTATTATGTGTCCTATATGAGTATGTCTAAAACTTTCTGAATGATAAATAAGCTTACTGTTTTGCAAAGAAAAAAATGTGACTTGCTTAAAAATTGCTGCCAATTTAGATGTGGGTGAAGTTCCCATAAAAATCTTGGAAGAAAAGGTCTAGAGGAATTTTGCACTTATATTTCATCACAGATGTTTCTTATTTCACTTTAAAGAAACTAGAACTGGGGCTATAGACATTATTTTATAGATAGTGAGATTTATATAAGAAAGATGGCATGAAACTCCCATCATAGACTTTTTTAAGAAATGGCCTAGGGCCTACATCAAAGGTTTAATAAAAGATGTTTATACATTTTAAGTTAAAATGCTAATGGTACATTTTTATTACTCAATACTTGGACCAGTTTTTAAAATTAATCTACTATCTCAATCAATTTAGATGAAAACCAAACCAAATGTCTAACTCTCAAGTTTGGTGATGGATACTGACTTGTTAAGAGAGCTAATTATATCAAAAGTGGCCAAAGATAGTACTGACTGAAGCACTTATTCCATTCTCTCCATTTTGGTTTAAATAAAAATTTCTAAATGAGATAGCTTTCCACACCCATGTTCAATATTAGACAAAACTGGGCACAAAACCAGGTGCTACCTGTAACACTGAAAATTTTTTTGCAAGTTTGTTTTGGGTTTTGTCTTTTATAGGTGTGGACATGACTTTAGCATCCAAAGTCACTGAAGTGGTGACCTCTCTTTCCCCTAAAAATGGGATACAAGACTGCTAAAGGCAAGGCATTTAAAAGCAACCAAATTGACCTAATTGACACTTACAGAACACTCTATCAACAATAGAATATACATTTTTCAAGTGCACACTGTTATCCACCAAGATAGACTATATTCTGACAGTAAAGCCTCAATAAATATAAAAGGATTCAAGTCATATGTTCTGTGACCACAATAGAATTAATTTCGGAGTCAACAACAGAAGTATCTGGAAAATCCTCAAATATTTGGAAACTATAAAATACATTGATAAGTAACCCATTGGTTAAAGAAATCAAAAGGGAAATTGAAAGTATTTGAAATGAATGAGTATGAAAACAGAATAAAATTTGTGGGATATAGCAAAACAATATTTTAGAAAGGGGACATTTATGAGAATGCCTACTTTAGATTAAAAAAGTTTTATATTAATGACCTCAGTTTCCACCTTAAAATGTTTTTTAAAAAAAAATGAAACAGAAAATAGACAGAAGAAAGGATATAATATAGATCAGAGGGTAAGTCAATGAAACAGAAAATTTAAAAACAATAGAAAATTGAACAATGACTTTTTCAGGGAATCAAAATTAATAAACCTCTAGATGAGTAAAAATAAGCAAATTATCAGTATAAAAGAAAAGTCACGACAAATTCTACAGATATTAAAAAAATAATAGAGAGTATTTGAACAATTTAATTCTGATAAATTTAACAAATTCCCCAAAAGACACGTTCACCAAGATCACACAATAAGAAATAGGTAACTTAAAGAGCCCTGTATTTATAAAAGAATTTGAATTTGTAGCTAAAAATCTTCCTAATGGGCATCAGATATATCTGGTACACAAAACTTTAAAATATTTTGGAATTCAAATGATATAAACCAGAGGCAAAAAAATTCAAATATTTCTAGATGCCAGGTAAATAATACAAGTGAATCCTGTGGCATAGTTACAGGAAAAAATAGCTGCCGTAAACACAATCTAACTTTATTTTTATTGAGCCATAGTAATATATAAACATGTAACAACATAAACATGATAGCAAAAATTTTATTTTAAATTAAACATGAAACACAAAGTCAATATGTATTATTAACTCCATTTTGGTTCTTTGGAATCAGAAACCTGACTTCTTCTGACCTTAGATACTAATATTTCTTGCCTTTTCTATGGCATTGTGGACACCTTGAAATATTTTGTAATCAGCATTTAATTTTCTACAGATTCATAATGGAAAATAATTATTGATAGAAGTAGGTACTTCCAAATAGGGATAGAAGTTTTACCCAAAATGTGCTCTTCCTTCCTCTCTTTATGTGGGTGGTTCGTTCTCATTGTTCAGTTCTCATAACTAAGACTTCCTTCAGAGATGCCCTCTCACTGTTATTATCTCTCATTTTTATCCTTAATAGTATTTCTCTTTTTTTTTTTTTTTTAACTAGTAGCTACACTTTTCTTTGAGCTTCGCTGGTCGCTCAGATGGTAAAGCGTCTGCCTGCAATGCGGGAGACCCGGGTTCGATCCCTGGGTTGCGAAGATCTCCTGGAGAAGGAAATGGCAACCCACTCTAGTATTCTTGCCTGGAGAATCCCACAGATGGAGGATTCTGGTAGGCTACAGTCCATGGGGTCGCAAAGAGTCGGACATGACTGAGCAACTTCACTTCACTTCACACTTTTCTTTAACCTAATGCTCATCTTCTATCCTAGCCTAGTTCAATGGGTGCAGAGCCTGTTTCCATCATCATTGTTTAACTTACGGCATCAACTGCCACAGGAGCGCCACAGATAATTGAAGAGTCACTAAAATCTTCTAAGCTCTAGTCAGAGGGCAGGAGCAATAGCTGTCACGTATAATGTTTTTGTTCAGTGATTTTGACCCAACTGTCTACTCCAAATGGAGCAAGAGAGAAAGCATTTTAGAAAAAAAATTTTGGAGAGCAATTTAAGAGCACTTATTAGCGTTTAAATAGGGCACACACTTTGACCTAACTGCTAGCCTTTCAGAAATATAATCTATAGAGCCTTATACAATGCACACCTCTTAAAGCAGCAATCCTTTTCCTAGACATTTAGCCACAAGAAAGTCAGACAAGTACCAAACATGTGCAAAGACGGATTCTCATTAAAATGTTATTTGTAAAAGCAAAAACCCAGAGATTGGAAATGAGCTAAATGTACTTCAAAATTGTTTAAGTTTTGGTACAATCATCAATGAAATACTCTGCAGTCATTAAATTAAAATTATTAACTATAGTTATAGTTAAAAATAACAGTGGAAACAAGTTTATGATATATTAAGTGAAAAAAGTTTAAATAATATGTGTACAATCATCATTCCCCCTTTTTCTATTTTGTTTAAAAAAAAAAACTAGTGGGCCTATATATGGGTATATGTAAGACTGAGCAACTTCACTTCACTTCACACTTTTCTTTAACCTAATGCTCATCTTCTATCCTAGCCTAGTTCAATGGGTGCAGAGCCTGTTTCCATCATCATTGTTTAACTGACGGCATCAACTGCCACAGGAGCGCCACAGATAATTGAAGAGTCACTAAAATCTTCTAAGCTCTAGTCAGAGGGCAGGAGCAATAGCTGTCACGTATAATGTTTTTGTTCAGTGATTTTGACCCAACTGTCTACTCCAAATGGAGCAAGAGAGAAAGCATTTTAGAAAAAAAATTTTGGAGAGCAATTTAAGAGCACTTATTAGCGTTTAAATAGGGCACACACTTTGACCTAACTGCTAGCCTTTCAGAAATATAATCTATAGAGCCTTATACAATGCACACCTCTTAAAGCAGCAATCCTTTTCCTAGACATTTAGCCACAAGAAAGTCAGACCAGTACCAAACATGTGCAAAGACGGATTCTCATTAAAATGTTATTTGTAAAAGCAAAAACCCAGAGATTGGAAATGAGCTAAATGTACTTCAAAATTATTTAAGTTTTGGTACAATCATCAATGAAATACTCTGCAGTCATTAAATTAAAATTATTAACTATAGTTATAGTTAAAAATAACAGTGGAAAGAAATTTATGATATATTAAGTGAAAAAAGTTTAAATAATATGTGTACAATCATCATTCCCCCTTTTTCTATTTTGTTTAAAAAAAAAACTAGTGGGCCTATATATGGGTATATGTATGGTCACACTGAGAAAAATATCTAAAAGAATATATAGAAAGTTGATCCTAGCAATTATCTCTGGCTAGTGGAATATCTAAATTATTTTTGATACTATTTACTGTCATAAGGAGTATGCATTAATTTTTATAATTTCTAGAACTAAAATTTCCATTTGTGGAAAATATTAAGAAGCCTACCCCTCTACTCTTAGAAATAAGTTTAAATGCCTCTCATGCCTTTCAATCAGAAATTTCCTCCAATTATGGGGTATTTCACATTCAGAAAGGAGAACTTTAAAAACAAAAAATATTGACTTCTTTCAACATGATCAAGAACATATGCTTAAAACCTTTTTTCGGGGCAGGTTTATATCCTGAGCATTGTTCTGAAGTTATAGCTTCTATCAGGATCAATCTGCAAACTTTATTTTATTCACATTTGACTACATAGGTGTTTTTTAAGTGAATTCAAATAACTAAATAGCTAATGTGTATGGTATTCCATTTGGCATGCATAACATAACTTCTGGATAAAAGGTACGCGACCATCCCACCAACAGACAATCAGATCATCACCCTGACAAGTCATGCTGTGTCGAATGGGTCTTCATTTCTTTGACAAATGCGTCCAGCAAGAGCCAGTTCACTGAGCTGGATCGTAGTCCAGTGAGTGTAAACTTTCCTTCTGTGCACGGATCAATCCAAACAGCCTGATGGGATCATCATGAATGTTTTCCTCTATTGCCTCGCTTTCCGGTGGGAAACTGTCCACCAAAGTGGTCTTAGAAAGGCTGATATCCATTGCATGCATCTGCCCCTCTCCATCCTTGTCTGACAAATGAGTTTTCTGTTTCTTGGGCTTTCTTCGCTTCCCCTCATTGTTGTGATCTAGTGAGGCATAGCACACCCTTACTTCAGTTTCCTGAAAGAGAAAGGCATGGTGAGTTTTCACTGTTAGCTATTCTTTAATTTTGACCTCTGGGAAACTGTAAAGCCTACCAAAAACACACAAGTTTGTTTTCTGGTCTTCAAGACCTTATTTACCAAATTTGTCAATTAGATTGATAACTACAAATCGTAAATTCAAGATTTTGGAGTGGAAAATGCTTAAAACAAAACAGTTTTCTTTCTTATACTCAGAATACACGTGAACTTTTTAGATGGATTTTTTAACCATTTTCTCCCCCTGCATTCACCTCAGGGAGTGACTGCCCTGTACGTCACCTACCAAGTAACAAAACTCTGATTTGTTAAACTGGGAGCAAAGCATGACAGGAAGGAATATAACCAATCAAATATGCTCTACATATGTTTAATAACTGACTATTTGATACCCACAAAAGTGTCTACTTTCTCTACATTTGAGACTCAGAAGTATAAGGTTAACAGGGTTTATTTGTAGTACTGGGGCTTCCCTGATAGCTCAGTCAGTAAAGAAGATACTTGCAATGCAGGAGACCCAGGTTTGATTCCTGGGTTGGGAAGATCCCCTGGAGAAGGGAATGACAACCCACTCTAGTATTCTTGCCTGGGAAATCCCATGGACAGAGGAACGTGGCAGGCTACAGTCCACAGGCTTGCAATGGTTGGACATGGCTTAGCAACTAAACAACCACCAACAACCATTTATATGACCAGCATTTGGCAAGAGTTGCATTTCCCATTTTTCCCTATTACTTCCTTCCTGCGTACCTGTCCCCAGATCCTTTTTGAGCTCATTTAGGTTGGTCTCAGATTCATTTGCATCCAAGAAAGCCTGGTGGTCCTCTCTGGCCTAAAGCTGGGTCAGTACTAGATTAAGAAGGGCAGGAGACTAGAGAAACTTGCAGAAAGCAATAAGCCTGAAGACAAGATCTTGAATTTGGTGTTTGAAAGTTTTAGGATTGAATTCCAGCTGTGACATTCTGATCACGGGACCTTGGGCATTTTTTTTTAAATTATCAATATTTTTAACCTCTGGCTATCAAATGAGAATACCTATCTTAGAATGTTGGGTGGCAAGATCCCCTGGAGGAGGGCAAGCAACCCATTCCAGTATTCTTGCCAGGAGAATTCCATGGCTAGAGGAAGCTGGCGGGCTACGTCCATAGGATTGCAACGAGTTGGACATGACTGCAGTGACTTAACACACATCTTACAATGTTATTAGCAAATGGAGGTAATTTACAGTTGACCCTTGAACAATGTGGGAGTGAGGGATGCCACCCCTTGAGCAGGTGAATATACATATGATTTATATGTAATATTACATATAGTTTTATAGTCTGCCCTCCATATCCACAGTTCCGCACCCACAAATTCAACTAGCCCCTTGCTGTATAGCTCTGTAGTATGCATCTAGTGAAAAAACCCAATGTTTAAGTAGACTGCACAGTTCAAACCTGGTTTTCAAACCAAGATAAGGTCCAAGGTATGGTGGTATTATAATTATCAGAGCTGTAGGCTAAAACTTTATAACAGCCCTTGAATAAACAAAAATAAGGGTTTACCATTCAGAGTAAGCCAAAGTTATATCAATTTGTGGGGTTTGGGTAAAGAAGCAACATTTGGATTAACAACCCCCCCGATGCATGGATGAGTTTCTCCCTGTTGCCACTTGTTTTCATGCTAAAAGTTAAAAGTCTTATCTCCTCTACCAGGCAGGGGGATGTTTCTATTTACAACCTCTCTGGTATCTTTGGTCTGACTTTATTTCTAAAATTACTTCTGGATAATTGTAGATAGGTAACTGGTATCATTGCCATCACATCTCTATACTCTGCCAGTTAGCTCATATTGCTATTTTCAAATTATCTTCCTAAGGCATAACTTTTATATTTTACCATCCTGGCTCCGAAACTTTAGCCTAAAGTCTGAGTTTTATGGCATAACATTCAAGGTTTCCTGTGCTCATAATTCACACCTTCTATTTGATTCCCAGTACTCCCCTACATAAACTCTGTATTTTAAGCAAACTGGACATTTCACTGCTTTCTTAAACATACATCATGCCTTAAGACCTGCTTTGCTTTTGCCTAGATAGAGAGTATGTCAGTGAAGTTAGCAAAATTACCAAAAGGCATTCAGTAATATAAAGGGGCAGGTAACTTTTTTGACTGTCTAGCACTTTGTTCTATTCTCTTTCTTTAATAAATTCTCCACTTTGTTTTAGGAAATTTCTTTCCTCCATCTGGTCCTGGAGAGCCTATCAATTACAATGCTGTATCCCATCTCAGCATAGGAATAAGCATTCGACCCAGGCTAGAACCAATTACACTATCCATCCTCCTGTCTACAGAAGCTGGGCCAAGAGCAGGCATATGACTTCAGCAGAGCCAATTACATGGCCTTTGAGGGACTGAGGTACAGGTGCAGAAGTAGAAAAGATATCTTTCCCTGGATTTGGGAGAAAGAAAATCTGGGTCTCCTGTGGCTTTCCCAGCCTCAGTGGAAGAGCCTGTTGGTAATAGAAGAGAATAAAGTCAGTAACAAAGATGTAGGGAGAAGTGGAGGAGCCCTCATATTCAATCATTTCAAAAACAAGACACCCTTGTATCTCAGTTACATGAGCCAGTGATTTCCTTTTGATGATATAGCTTGAACTGAGTTTTTGTACTTATTATTGAAAGCATTCCAAATGTTTGGTCAACAACTGGTCAAATCCTGCAGAGTTCAGCGAATGTGAGTCTTGAGAAAAGACCACAAACTGTACATGTAATGGTCATTTGTGATTTACCAAGTATTGGTTCAGTTGAATAGATGGGTGAAAAATATACGTGCATTGCATGCTCATGCATGTTCAGTTGTGTCTGACTCTTTGCAACCCCATGGACTGTAGTCCACCAGGCTCCCCTGTGCATGGAATTTTCCAGGCAAGGATACTGGAGTGAATTGCCATTTCATCCTCCAGGGGATCTTCCTGACCCAGGGATCAAACCTGTGTCTCCTGTCTCCTGCATTGGCAGGCGAATTCTTTACCACTGAGTCACCTGGGAAGCCCAGAAAATATATAGACAGGGATAAAAAAATATGTGTATCTGTGACTATAAATGGAAACTGGAGAAAAGTAAAAACCAGTTTAGGAATTAGAGACAAAAACAGGTTGAAGTAAAAGTTTTGTGTTTTTAAATATTGCAGAGATTTGGGTATATTTGTAAGTCAATAAATCCTTCATTTATTTAAAGAAATGGAGACAAATAATTGAAGGTGTAAGATCTTGAAAGAAGTAGAAGAAATAGTCAAGAGCCCAAGTAGGACTATTGGCTTTGGAAAGGGGAGAGGATGCTTCTGACATGGAGGGAAAGGAGGGATGGGTGAGCTTTTGATGTGAGGATAAGAGAAAAATAAGTTCACATTCGTGCCCCTCAAATTTTTTAGGGAACTCTCATGAATCCATTCTTTCACTAGATTTCCCAGTCAACTCTTCCTGGTTAATAGCATAGACCGAAATTGCAACTTTTGAACTGTACACATCATTTTCAAAGGACAAGGAGCTTTTTCCTGGTTCCAAGCTTTTTTTGTATTGCATTATGGATTCTTCACACTTTTGTAACTGACCAAAGTAACTGAGTACCATAGTAGCTAACTGGGCAGTGTTTTGATGATAATTGTCATTGTGACCCCATGGACTACATAGTTCATAGAATTCTCCAGGCCAGAAAACTGGAGTGGGTAGCCGTTCCCTTCTCCAGGGGATCTTCCCAACCCAGGGATCGAACCCAGGTCTCCCACATTGCAGGTGCATTCTCTACAAGCTGAACCAGCAGGGCAGCCCAGGAATACTGCAGTGGGTAGCCTATTCCTTCTCCAGTGGAAATCTTCTCCACCCAGGAATCGGACCACGGTCTCCTGCATTGCAGACGGATTCTTTACCAACTGAGCTACTAGGAAAGCCCTCTAATAAAATGGAATTGAGCAAATTTAAGGAGATTACTTCTGGTGGGATAAATTGGGAAATTAGGATTGATCTTTGCACACTGCTTTTACTATATGTAAGCTAGATAGCTAATAAGAGCCTACTGTATAGCACAGGGAACTCAACCCAATACTTTGTAATGATCCATGTGGGAATAGAACTTATAAAAGAGTGAATATACATACATAGCCAATTCACTTCATTGTAAATCAACTATACTCCAATAAAAATTAATTTAAAGTAGAGATTATTCTAATTTGTGAAATTAAATATGTGAGAAGAATACAGACTAATTCCCTTAGAAGTGTCTTTAAATATATAATTTATAAAATAGCAGACTTTTAAAGACACTTTAAGGCACTGCACAATTTCCTCTTGAGTGTAAACCAGATGCAGCATAAATAAGGCTGGCCTATTTAATTTACATGTATTAAACAGCAACAGAAGTCTCGGTTCTATTATAACTAAGGTGCTGTGGATCTCTGTATTTCAGGTGTATTTCTCAAAAGGTTGTCTTTTTATTACCGTGTATTTTGCAAATCATATTATAACAAGCAGTTTTTTCATACCTTTTATCTAAAATACATTTAACAATTAATTGAATGTCACATGGCAGATTTGCCCATGAGAGAGTTACTTTACATTCTGCTTAAACCTCACCACATCTTGTTTTCATAAAAACAAAAAAATTAAGAATTTGATTTTTAGAAGGCTCCTATAAAGAAAAGGGAAATTCTATCTTAATGGGAAGTTTCCAAGTTTTGACCCATCTTTGGGAGGAAAAGGTTTTCTGTCAAGTGGGACTAAGTTTGGATTCTGTTTCCCCACTTAGCTTCTGAGTCTCTAGGGCAAGTTTTATATCATCTCTGTCGACTGGGAATGATCATGCTGCCTCCCTCATAGGAATCTAAAATGCTAATACCTATAAAGCACGTAAGACCAGTCTGACGCATGACGACTACATAGGAAATGCTGGTCCTATGCCTGTTTCTAGGAAATAGCATGAGAGCAAATAACAAAAGGGATGGGGTAGGGAAGGGGAAGAAAGAACCATTACAACTGAGATTTATAACACTTCAACCACACACACGCGAAGAACTGTCACCAGTCACGCTATGTCTGAGGGGGCTGAACTGAGGTGCGTAGGAAAAGTATAAACTACCCATTTCTTCTTGGGTTTCTCTCTTTCTGCTTATGCTTTAGAAGCCACCTGTAAATCTTGCCATAAGACAATAGCCATAGAGTTTGTATTAAATTTACGCTCATTTTCCTTATAAAACAGAAGTCTGTTCTTTTATAGTTAATTTCTTTTCACTAAGGTCTTTCTCTCCCCATCCACCCTCCATTCCTGATATCTAGGTCTTCTGAGCATTCTGTATGTGTCACTTTTCATAATTATTTCTATGATACATGTAACTTTTTTTGCTCTGAAAGAAAAAAAGCTTAATTATTGAAGAAGAGAATCCACTTTTCCCTTGATATCTACTGCCTTTGTACACAATTTTGACTCTTTAAGTTTAGCTCTGAAAATTATTTATTTGCCTTCTGAGTTTTTCGTTAGAGCTTAGGCTCTAGAATTTGACAGCGGTTCAGAATGCAAAATTTCTAACAGGCTGCTTCTGATGTTTATCAGAATGTGCTGCCTTTATGCTCTTGAAACAGGCAGCTGTGCTGTGACCTAGGCTGAATCTGGCCCTTGATACAGAAAATAAAACTTACCTGAGAACGTGGGGCGTCTTGCAGTTTGTTCACAGATCTGTCTGGTCGTGCTTTCATCTGTTCGTAGCAGTTTTCATCCACTGGTTCTGGGGAGTTGAGAAGAGATTTACAATGGAAAAATTTTAAAAATGCTGGCACAAATCATAATACATGACCCAAACAACACTTAGCTATAAATGTGAAACCTGCGAGGGTCATTTTTGATTAGTCTATTTTTGTGGCCATGCAAAGGTAAGGAAGGACAAACTGCACTCTGCAGGTCAGACTGCTGAGAAGCCTGTTGCCCCACAGTGTTAACAATTAGACAAAAGAAGGTCACTTGGATAAAGATGAGATCATCTTACTCTTTTTATACCATCGCAGGACATGACAGTCTCAGCTCAAACTACCATTTATATGTCCCGGGGATCTCATGAGTGAAAGGCTTGCCTGAGCCCTTCTATTTAAGTATGATTACAGATGGTGCAGGTGGCGTAAAGCACAGAGCACACATATTGATGATCAAAATTTGGTAATTTTTTCCATAAGAAAGATAGTTTACTCAGGGGCCTTTTTAACCCTATACCATTTTTTGAAAAAGAGGGTTTAGATTATGTTTGTTGTCCCATATATCAGTGACAGGACAGGTCATCCAGGCTGTTTTGAGGGATATACAGTGGGGTATGTAATGGTGATACTAAGTTGTTGGGGGGTTTTGGCCATGTCCACCGGCCAACAGACATGAACCCATTTGCTTCTGGTGGGGGATGCTTACTGAGTCATCCGTACCTCTCTTTCCCCAGAAACTCTATTTAAAAGGGAGAGGAAGGAGAGCTAATGACTTGTAGGATAGAGAGTAATCTTGCAGAAATGTTGATTGCACCAATTCGACCCCACAGAGGAAAAGATGTGTTTGTAATACCAGGTACTTTGTAATCCTCCAACCCTTTCTGAAAAGCAATGTAGAGAACTGGCCCATAGAGTAATGTTTCTCAAAGCATAAACCATGGGCAACATGAGTTAGAATCACCCAGGAGGCTTGTTAAATAGGAGGTTCCTGAGCCCTACTGTGGAATTACTAAATCAGAACCCGTAAGAGAGGCACCTGGGCTCACTGCTCGTGAAGCCTGCAGATACGGTGGGCTTTGAGCTACCAAGATACAGAAGAAATTCAAGTCCTCAAATGGTTTAAGTGGGCACCACAATTCCGCAAAGGGAAACGGGAAGAAAAATTCTTAATAGTCTATTCCTGAAAAATAGTTTTGATTCCTCAGAGCACAGAGGATTAAAGGATACTTTACAATGGTGGGGGGAGGGGACAAAGATTATTTAAATTCTTGACTCCTATAAAATTCTCATGTGTTTAACTTTGGGAGATTTCATACTGTCTTGATATATAGAGATTCAGGTAAATTTAATCCAATACTGGGAATCTGTGTTTGAGACGCCAATTAGCAGGAGTTAAACCCACCTACCCACCCTCCACCAGTCATGAATTCAGCACTTACAGGGCACGGGTAGAGATCATGGGTAGCCCTGGTCTGACAGCTTCTCTCATCAGAGGGCTGGGACCAGATCACAGCTGTTTGTTTTGAGACACTTAGGGGCTTTTTAGTTGTGGGGGAGTGGGACCTTTCAAGGAATAAAGGATGCTGGGGATTGAAGAGTACTTGTTACTAAAGAACAAAAGGTGTACAACCCGTGACTCAGTGATGGTTTGGCTCTTCTCCTTCCCTAATTGTCATCAGTGTAACCCTAGATCCCCTACTTTAAAAGAACCAGTTAAAACAAAGGAAACCAGAGAATCTGTTCTTTGTTCCAAATTATTCACTGTAGATATGCTTTTGTATACAGAGCATAAAGCACTGTCTCCCTGGGCAATCTTCTGTTCTAGAAATAGCTTTATTTCATAGAAATCTGTGTGTGTCAGAGTTCATGGTAATTGAGTCTTCCGGTATTCTCACTACAAACTAGAGTGAAATAAAGAGAATATAGAAAAACAGGATGTTGATTCACACTGAATGTTGCAATACAACTTACAATATGCAGCTTTGAAAATACATAATAAATGGTATGCTAAATACACTCAAATGTATGGTTACCATTGGGATATTTAAATATGATTGTGACAAGAAATAAGGTACCTCAAATTCTTTGTGGAATTATGAGGGGGAAATTGATTTATAGGTAAATTTAATTTTTGGAAAAATAAAACTTACCTAAGGCCACATTATCTACGTTACCATAAATTGGTGCATCTTCAAGATCATACTCATCTTCCCTATAAGAAGGAAATAATTTGCCTTGTTAGAATCTACATAGTTCATATCTAATTTCTCAGCTATATTCTGTATTGGGTAAATTATTGCACATTCTTATCCAGCCTTGACAACCCAAGGTAGATATGCAAATGAGTCAGTAAATACAAGTGTGCATGCATGTGTGTGTATGAATTTGAAAAGTGTATTCTGGATCTTCTTTTAGTGAATAATAGCAAATTCTTATTTAGCATTTACTGTGTGTCAGGAGTTACTTGAAGTGCATTATATATATATTCATTCCTTTTATATTTCTCACAATAATTTAACCAGACAGGTGCTATAGCATTCCCATCTTTTAGATAAGGAACCTGAGACACAGATTGGTTATATAATATGCTGAAGGTCACAGAACCAGGAAACGGCAGTGCTGGGATTAGAACATGGATTATCTGTGCACTAAACTCTACACTGTACTTCCTGTTTGCTTGCCAATAATATCACTCAGAACAGACCCCTAACACAGTTTACTAAATATTGACAGTGATTAAAAAATGAGAGCCCAGAGAAATATTGTAGACTCAGCTTGGCAGATGCAATAAAAAGATTGATTACCTATTATACCCAAATACTGTGCTGTTTTACACACACTATATAAAAAACACAGGGAAATTCTACAGAAATATCATTTCCCACTTTTCAGATAGATTAACATATTTTCCCTAACCTTACGTGTAATATCAGCAATAAATAGCAAACATGGAAGCTTTTCTTCATGCCAGTGCTCATTCACCCCTCAGGACAGCCCTACCAGATTCATTTTCCAAAACTCCCCATTTTTGCACATAAGGAATTTGCAAGCTATAGAGGCAAATTGTCAAGAGACACATAGTAACTGACAATGCTAGGACTGTAATGCAAGTCTGGTCCTAAAGCTCTAAATATTATTTGCTCTTGGTGTTTGATTAAATTTCCTTGTTGCTTCATCTGAATAATCCTGTTAGGATTACAGTAGACAACTACTATTGTCACAGGCAGTGACAATGGCCCTGGTGACCAGCTTTCACAATAGCAGGCTGGGAGCAGAAGAACATTTTAGGCAGTGAGCGGCATATCATAAAATAGCAGCAACTGCTTTAACTTTGAGATTATATATCGCCGAGAGCTGGAGGGAATTGCATCAAAAGGAAAAGCCTATATTATAGTCCCATGCTTCTGAAAGAAGACCGTATACTTAAATATCAAGAGTGTATCCTTAAAAAAAGATCAAATGATACCTGTATGAAATTATTTGAAAAGTCCATTTGCTGGTATGTATTTGCCTTATTTGATAACAAAAAACTCGTTCATACCCTTTCTGTTGGTAATTCACTACAGCTTAATACTGGGATACAAAGTTAAGTCCCTGCTAATGGTTTTTCTCTAGCTATGCAGAGAATAAAATAGCAAAAGGTGAGGAATTTTTAATAAGACAATCCATCCATTTTCCCAGCACACATGAATAGCAGATACAACCTGCAAATGATAAATCATGTCCAGAAAATGAACATCATTTCATTCCCTGTGAAGAAAATAGGACGTGATTTATAATGCAGTGGCCTGTATCTGCAGGCAGGTCTCAAACGATTAATCATCACAAATAATCTATTATAAAGAAGCAGTCTAACCAACAAATTAATAAGTATATTTTTAGTTGGCAATGCCAAATAGCTCCAGCCTATTGCAAAAATCTAATAAACTTCAAGCACAAATGTTTGGCAGTGTCTTATGTTGAAGACATTACTATTTAGAGTAAATTAATAAATATGCCCAGAGGCTAGTGCACCTCTGAGTTTGGGGCCAGATCACTTTCTCTATTGTTCTCAACATGTCTGAAATGATCCTCTAACCAATTAGTACATTTACTGACACTCCACAATTTAAAATAATATTGTGATTGTTGTGTTGTTCAGTCACTGAGTCATGCCCAGCTCTTTGTAACCCCATGGACTGCAGCACACCAGGCTTTCCTCTCCTTCACCGTCTCCTGGAGTTTGCTCAAACTCATGTCCATTGAGTCAGTGATCAACCATCTCATCCATCCATCCAACCATCTCATCCATCCATCCGACCACCTCATCCATCCATCCGACCACCTCATCCATCCATCCGACCACCTCATCCATCCATCCGACCATCTCATCCATCCATCCGACCATCTCATCCTCTGCTGCCCGCTTTTTTACCTTCAATCTACATCTTTAAGGTTCAGATTTTCCACTTTCACGTAAATTTCTCTTGTCTCTATTTTTAAAGTTCTTATTCATACTTTATCATTTTTATTGTGAAGTCCTTTTAAAGAAAATGTCTTATACTTTATTATTTAAGATTAAATAAGTGAGTTCAATTTTTAAAAAATCACTACTTTTGCCTGGGTGACTTTGAACATAAATTCCTGAAGTTTAAATTTCCTGATTTAAAAAACAGAAATATTAAATTATTCCCTATGTTGTTCTTTTCAGCTTCCAAATTCTAAGACATAAATGTGGGTTTCAACATCCAAACAAAAATGAAAAACATTTCTGGAAAACTAAATAAAACTATTTTAAGGGTCTGGAAAGTTGAAAGATTGAGGAAAGAGTAAGCTTAGGGGTCTGTCAGACATTGGTTTCGATTAACTTTATTTGTTTAATAGATATTTGTTTGAAAGACTTCCCTGGTGGCTCAGAGGGTAAAGCGTCTGCCTCCAATGCAGGAGACCCAGGTTCGATCCCTGGGTTGGGAAGATCCCCTGCAGAAGGAAATGGCACCCCACTCCAGTACTCTTGCCTGGAAAATCCCATGGACAGAGGAGCCTGCTAGGCTACAGCCCATGGGGTCGCAGAGAGTCGGACACGACCGAGTGACTTCACTTTCTCTGAGTAGGCAGATAAACGCTTGGTCTTTGCCCAGTGTATAAGTGTTACTTAAAGCCATGAGAGAGGATGAGATTACTAATGACATGAGTGCAGATAGAGGAGAGGTTCACTAGGTGAGCCCGGGGCACTCTGCCATCTATGGTTCAGGAGCCAGCAAAGAAGGAGCTGCAGGTATTGAGGAGGAAAGCTAAAACGGAGGCGGCCTCAGAGCCTGGATAAGCAAGTGTCTCAAAGTTGGCGCTAGTGGTAAACCCATCTGTCAGTGCAGGAGACCTAAGAGACGCGGGTTCGATCCCTGGGTCGGGAAGATCCCCTAGAGGAGGGCATGGCAAGTCACTCCCGTTTTCTTGCCTGGAGAGTCCCATGCACAGAGGAGCCTGGTGGGCTACAGTCCATGGGGTCACAAAGAGTCAGACAGGACTAAAGCAACTTAGCACACACACCAGAAGCAGAGAATGACAATGTGTCATGCTGCAGACGGACCACATATGAGACTTAAGATTTGCCACACATACTTCACCGGTGCCCCTGACAGGAGCTGAGTCAGTGGATTATTGAGGACAGAGAATTGAATAGAGTGGGTTCAAGAAAGAAGAGGAAGAGAAGCCAGCAAATACAGACAGAATGGACGTGGAACTTGCAAGTTTTCCTGTAAAGACTACAGAACAGTGGAGCGGTGACCACAGGCAACCTGGTGTCAAGCGAGCTTTTCTTTAAGATGTGAGGTGTCACTGTCTGCTTATACACTGATCGGAATCAGACCAAAGAAACCAAGAGAAAGCAACGACGCGGGAGAGAAAAGGGGAAGTTGCTGCCGCAACTGTTCCTGCGCATACGCTCGATAAATGTGTACTTTGATAGGGACTGTGTCATGAGTGTGGGTTTCCTGAACTTGGCATGAGTGAACATCAAAGGTAGACACTTGGTCCAGGAGAAAAACGTAAGCCCTAGCAATTTTTGTATGGCTAGGGTTAGCTAAGAACCAGCAGTGTTTCCTCTGAGGAGAGATGCTAATAGGGTCTCAGAGACATGATATCTAATTCTAAATTTTTATTTTGATCAGTGTTCAAGTTCTCTTCTGATAATGCCCACTTTTTTTTTTTTAAATAAAGTCAAACACAGAAGCTTGTATTGCCAGTGATTTGGAGCACTTAAAGGACACTTTAAAAGTGTTTTTTTTTTCTCAAAGTTTGAGAGAAGGGAGACTGGAAAGTTCTGCCATCTCGAAGAACTGTAAAGAGAGATGGGAAGGAAACCCAGAGCAGTGGCACAGAGACAGTCAAGAAGATCTTGGAACCTGTAGGTGCATTTCGGGAGATTCTCACAGAGACTTGGGCACGGGACGGGACTTCTTGCATTCACGTAGGGTTGGAGTTTGGATTATGGTTACTTGTACGTTAAAACAAACAGAAGGCTGGAGAACATGGAGATGTTTTGGTTCCAAATGCAGCAGTGGTTATAGTGAGGGCCTCTTCTGAATATCTACTTGGAAATCTGATGCCAGGGAAGGCTACCCAGGAGTTCCACTATCATCAGGATGTTCAACCCTGGGAAAGGTGGAGATGACGGCTGAGACGAAAGTCTGTTCCAGGGCACCTGGTCAGTATCTCAGGGGAACTGAAGCGGGGTCCTCAACCTGCAGAGCTCTAGAAATCCAAGAGATCATTTTAGGTAGAAGAATAACTGAGATGAGATACGTTTTGTGATAAAAGCACCTTTCAGTGCCATGCAGGAGGAGAACATGCAACAGTTGCTAGAAATTTGTCCTAAGTCCTTGAGACAGACCCTGAAAACTGAGGAGCTATAATAAGCTTAATGTAAATCTGAACTGCTTTCCTGATTATCTGAACCACTTTCTTTAATTAAGGGGTAAATATAATCCAAATGGGTGGGTATTTTCTTCTTTTTTTTTTAATATTTTTATAAATTTTTATTTAAAAATTCCCTTTTCAATCTGTTCCAAGTATTGGAAGCTGAACGGTACAAGTCCCTGCCATCCATCCTTCCAGTACAGTTTTATGAGGACATTTTTTTTTTAATGGAAAAATAAGAGGACCCTCTACTAAAACCAGGTAGGACCAGTCAGCTCCTGTGTGGCAGTTTAGCCAAAGCTGGCCTTACACAGCAAGCACGTGGAGGTATCTAGGGAATTGGGACTCCCTCTTGTGAGGAAAAGACTGAGAAAATTCATCTTTAATGAAAACGATCTAAATTCATATTCAAAAGCCTTCATTATGATGCTCCCTGACACTCTTATACTTTGTATATTGAAGGCAGCTCCCTTTTATAGCTACTTTTAGCAGGCAAAGAAACAAAGGAATACAGATACATATGTGTGTATATATATATATTATATAGGTAAAATATATACATATATATGTATATATACATATTTGGGGGTAGGAAAAGGTGAGGAGGGTCATGTAAACCTAAATAGTCATCACATTACCCCAAATGAGCCTGACATTAACAAAGAAGAAAATAAATAACTCTGGGGGTTACGTGACAACACGGGCGCAGCAAGAAGGGACAGGGCCCGCGTTTAACCATTAAATACACTATGTATTTGTTTGGAAGAGTTCAGGCCAAACCCAGGCTCCTGCACTTGCCAGACAAGTAAGCTGATGATACTCAATTAAGAAAAAAAAAAAATTCAAGCAGAGCTCCATACCACAGTTTTCCTTCAAGTCAGTTGGCCGGCAGGCACAGTTTTCCGACCACCAGGAACAGAAACTTTGGCTCCAAAGCAAATGAAAAAAGACTTAATTTAGACCTATAGTCAGCTTTTTTTTTTTTACCAGCTACTCTCTGTAAGTGTAGTATTATGTTATAATACTTGAGCTTCAGAATATGAGCTTCAGAAATGCTCATTTCCCCAAGATTACAAACCTAGTAATTGCAAGCATTTGATTAAAATCCAGAACTGTTTGGATCTCAAACCCATGTTATTCTCACTGCATTATCCTCTTAACACAGATCATAAGACAAGAATTGTGCAGAATTAGTTTAAAGGAAAAATAAAGTGCCCTGGGATAAATACCAGGAAGCAGGCATTTAACTTCCTATTAGATGTAGACACTTTGCTGTCCTTGAAGTGATCATGTTCCTGACTTACTAACGCAGGAGGAGAAGATCAGAGAGGCAAATTTCTTTTCCCTCCAGCTTAGCTTCCCACCTAAACCAGTGCTGAGAAGGAGCGGGGACGGGGCAGCAGGGAACCCAGGGTGGGGGAAGCTTGCCTCCCTTCTACTGGCCTCAAACCAAGTAAGGAACTGCGGAAACAGCCATGACTCTAGCCCTACCTAAGAAAGACACCTGCCTAAGTCCTACCTAAGAAAAGTCAGTACTACCTAGGAAGAGTCAGTCCTACCTAAGAGCCTCTTAATGAAAATCAAAGAGGAGAGTGAAAAAGTTGGCTTAAAGCTCAACATTCAGAAAACTAAGATCATGGCATCCAGTCCCATGATGATGCTGGGAAAGATTGAAGGCAGGAGAAGAAGGGGACTACAGAGGATGAGATGGTTGGATGGCATCACCAACTCGATGGACATGAGTCTAAACAAGCTCTGGGAGTTGGTGATAGACAGGGAAGCCTGGCATGCTACAGTCCATGTGGTCGCAAAGAGTCAGACATGACTGAGCAACTGAACTGAAAGAAAGATAGCCCTTATTTCCACTTGCTGTTTTAATATTAATGCCTTAATGACGGGAGATTGTTTTTTTTTTGTTTTTTCCCTGAAGCCTCCATGCTCTCCTATAAAGGTGACTTTGGCTTTCAAACTACATAATCAGAGAAACAGACAAGCTGTGAAGTACATACACAAACTTGTGAATTAATAAGATAGCCTCTTTATAGATACAGTCTGCACTGTATATTCAAATTCTGCCTAAATGGAGATTTATTACAGTTGATAACAGATTATTAAATCCTTGAGGAAAGGATCCGCATCTTTTCATCTTTGTATCTCTATTGTCTAACAAATGCTTATTTGTTAAATGAATATTTATTGAAGGAATGAATGTTATAAAAGAACCAGCCTTTTTTCTGAATTTTCCCTGTAGCCAAGAGCTTGCTTGCTTTGAGATGGGTATTTTACCAATTTTCCTTTCTGAATTCTTATCATCCTAATTAAAAAACCACCATTTCTGTCTTTGGTAGGATGATTGTATCACATCACTTTCTATAACAATGCATCTTAACTACCTTTCAAGTGAAGAGTATAAAATCAATTGTCAGATTAAGTTCTGCATGGCTATGTAGGATTCTTTTTGTCACATTTTTTTTGTTGTAACTGAATCAGCAAATCACTCCTGATATGAACTAATGACTTAAATTATCTCATGTTGTAAAACATAATGTTAAAAATAATCATAAAATATAGATTTTCTTCATTGTGTGAGTCTGCCTGTAGCCCAGATCTGAACCTTCCAGAGACATTTCCACATGGAGAAGAATTTTTTAAAGGACGTTTTAGAGGACAATAAAAAGCTTACAGTGTTACCCTATACCAATGAGAAAGCTCTATGTTTTTGAAAGGCATTTTCAACCTTTCAGTTTACCATTTCAAAAAGGTCTTAAAGAATCCTCTAGAAAACTTTCTATATTTAGATTTTTTTTGTCCCAAAAGAAAAATTTCCAATTTAATGACACACTTGGGTCAGAATATACTGTCTAAGAAAATGAAACTTCTTTACTGTGACATCATAAATCTTCTCTTAAAAAAGTATTATACAAATTTATCTGCAACTTGCTTAATAAATATGAGATTATGTTACACCTATAGCTACATATTAATTATTTATTGGCAATACCCTTAAAATGGCACAGCACAAAGCATTCTTCTGTATGTGCATACACATCTTAAATTGTATTAGGTATTGCCAGATTTCCTTCCACCTCGAATTCTTAAGAACCACACAATTCTATATTTAATTATACTACATTCTTACAGTCTGAACTGAATCATAATCTAGGATTATCTTCTTCCAAAATTAACGAGGATTCTGTAGATACAGATTAGTTTCATTTTCATCCAGCTCTCTCATTGACTCAAGGAGAGTAAATAACTAGGGTAGATAATGTAATAACTATTACTCTTTAGATGGAAGTAAAAGTAATTAAAACTCATCTTTTATTTTAACCCAAGTGAAACATTCCTAAGTCAATCCTATAAAGCAATATAACACTAGTTACTTTCCGTATTATTTGGGAATCATAATCCACGACTTGTTTTCTACGTACCTGGGAAAGTAGTCGTCGGAGTATGCGCATATTTTTTCTGAAAGATATTCAAAACAGACAAGAGAAAATATGACATGTGTTAAACCTTTCAGAGCATGTTCTGAGAGAAGCTTAGTAACAATGTCAGTTAACATCTTTAATCAAGCCACTTAACTAGGGGTAAAGGTATTCCCTGGCGTGGGCCAGTCGCGCTCCCTCTTTGTAATCTGGAAGGCAAACATCTTGGAGACAAAGCAGAGCTCAGTGAGCGGCCACTTCACGCAGGGGAAAGGCCAGGCTGAGACCTGGGGAACCCTGTGCCTGCCTGTTCTGTGGTCCCAGCCTGTTGTGGGGCACAGCTGCACTTTTCTGCCTCGGGTTCCACGAAACAGCTCTGCTTCTTACTGACAAAGTGCCCTCTTTGCCCTTACAGATTTGAATAGGCTTTTCTTCCTTATAAAAAAAAAAAAGTCCCTAGAAGACTCTTCTATTTATCTAATTTTGGAGTGCTCGTTAACTTTTCTTGGTGTGTGACAATCACATAAAAATTATCTAATCATCAACAAAATTTCTTTGAACTGGATAGATATATATAGTGTGATATCTTTTATATTTTGATTGCATATTATTAACCTGGCATTAAATAAAAACCAAAATCTTGCAAAGGCTATCATATGAAAGTGAAGCCCAGTATTATCTATCTGACAGTGACTCAACTGTGTGTTGGTATTAAACTAACAAACCTTTCCAAATAATTGAACAAGTCACCAAACAACTACAAAAATTATTTTTAGTTAGATTTATGTATGACAAAGTTATTATCCAGACAAGTCATTACATGTTAGAGAAATATTATTCAATAATGTTTCAAATTATTAAAATCACCATGTTGGAGGGTAAAATAGACATACCACATGTCAATATATTTGGAAGAATTCTGTTAAGGACCAAATGTGGGAATTTTTTGCAAATCACAAACATCAAGCAGCTATGGGACCAGAAGTGGTGAATGTAATCTGTTTGGGATCTGTCACAAATATGCTTCTTTAGCCCACAGTAAATGTCTTACCATGGACTGCATCTGAAAGATGTAGCTGTTTTCAACTATCTTCAGATTAGTCTTGTGAATATGAATGTAACATGGATGCTGGGAGAAGCCTGGAGAAGCCTACTGCTGCATGGTACCCAAAGTTAATGGAAGCCCAACAAAATGAGAAAGCTTGAGAAAATGTAAATAAGATCAATAAGCATAGAAACAAAAATTAGTTAATATAGACTAGAAAATTGTTAACTGGAAAATATAAAGTATGTATTGATTTCTTTTTATATGAAGTACATGTTTATATTCAGGTCATTATTATTCAAATTTGTCTGAAACTAAAGTGCGTACCTAAGAATTTAGTCAAACTGTAGCTTTGATGTATCATGGAACAGATTCAGGGTTAGGAATCAGAACTGGATTTGGGTGCCAGCTCTTCAATGTATTTCATTGCATATGAACAAGCAAATCATTGTAGAACTCATTCTTGGTGTATCAGTAGGGTTAATAATACCTATATCATGGAGTAGATGTGGGAGATAAATGAAGTAATTTGTATAAAAACATTATAGAAAGTCGGTTATCAATATTTTACGTTCTAAGTCCACATCCTCTAACAAGCCATGTTTAATTGTGCTAACTTGAATTTGGGAAGTTTTCAGATTAAATGGATTAGCTGAAAAGTATTTGATAGAATATAATTTAAATGCTATTTTGAAGACTTATAAATAAATCTTGACTTGAGATGTAGTCTTCTTTTGGGAAGAAGATTGTCATCAACTGAGTAGTAAATTCAAAGAAAAGATTAAAACTAAACAAAAATAGTGACAGTACTTAAATAGAATGAGAAAAAGAAATAGGTGTGGAGTACAAATGTTTCTCCAACCTGACTAATACTTCTTAAAGATGATGTGGGTTTTCCAACTGGAGGTGCTTAGAGTGTAAATGATGGTGCCTGGAAAATACCCTGCTGTAATATGTAGAAGGATAGCTCTCTAGAAGGAAAATGCAGTTCAATGTATTAGCAGCAGAGAAAAGCAAAACAAAGATTTAGACCAAAAAGTTTTGTGTAAAAAAGGAAAGAGAAAGGGAACTAAAACAATGTGAAGAAGAAAATAAGTAATGGGTAAAGGACTTTGTACATCAGAACAAATCATACTGAAGAAGCACCCTGAAAGGAAACATTAAAAGTTCAAGGTCACCATATCACACTATTCTTAAAATTTAAATGTATTATCTGAAGCGAGACCATCAGTACTTATGTCCTTTTAGTCTTACAATGCTTATCATAAGAAGTGTGATGGAATATGATCTATTTAAATAGGGGTACTACAATAAAAGGTTTAGAGGTTACAGCAAAGGAAAAAGATCAGTAAATTCAGACTCCTGAAAAGAGGTTGCCCTGTTATGAGTGCTTATAGGTTTAAATGACATGATTTAAAAGCTACTTAAGCATTTCAGTTATATTTAATAAAAGACAGTTTTTATTTCATTATAAAGCAGGTATGTTTGCAAGACTCAGTTTGAGAAAAGCTGGGTGAGTTTTCATAATCCTGTCCTGTGATTCAGATATAAACGCTGTGGTCAGGTTCATGGTTGAAAGGGTGTGAGCTGACATTTGCTTTTGTTTTCCCCTTTGTTGTGTTCACCCTTCCGTGTGCAACACGGAACAATAAGAAACAAGAGTACGTGGCTTAAACTCCATAATACAAATTTTATGATACATCTTTAGTGTGAAATATGTGCCGTAATTTTCTAGCAAACAGGAGATACACTGATAGGACTTTGATGTATGAACAAACCGTACAGTTGTTTATCCTTCTCAAAACAGAGAAGAAAGGTTAAAGAATATTGTTTAGGCTTAAAGGAAGAAAAGGTGGATGCATTCCTATTAGAAAGAGAAATAAATGTGATCCTCCTAAAGAACACATTTGGACAAAGAATCACATAAAAATGAGAGATTTACTTGGGGGGAGGGGAGAACTCCATTTCGAAGCTTCTACGGAGCCCTGCCTGCTACCGAAAACATCAAGGAGGGGCTTATCTTGTCTATCTGATTGAATGTGTAGATACTGCATTGTTGCTGGAACAGAGATTTTCTTTTGCAAGCTATTTAATACAACCAGAAAAATTTATTCACTAACTGTTCACCAAGGTGGAGTCATATCTTGCAAGTTTCTTAGCCACAAAGAATAGCACAGAGATGTAGAAATAAAAGTTACATGAGGCCAGATGCAGGAGCTTTGTGTACAGAGACCGAGGGACAGCAAAGCTGGCTAAATAGGATAGAATCTCTGGGAGTCTGTCTGTCTGTCCAGGAGAAACAAGTCAGGGAGCATCCTCAGGCTGGCTGCCAAGGAATCAGTTTGCAGGACTAATCCCAAATCCACCTGGAATCTCTGGATAAGAAAGAAAGATAGTGTTCTTTGCTCACGTGAAGTAGAAAGGATGGTGATCATTCGTAATACCGCAGTGGTTGGGAGTGGGCTACAGAGAGAAAAGGGGGAGATGGGATAAGAACATCCACAAACACTGTTCCAAGGTTAATCTTAGATTTGCACACCGGTAAAGTGCAAGACCCAGGGTAACATGCTCCTCCTAAAGAGCGAAGATCAAGTAAAGTCAAAACAAAAAAAGTCTTTTGTTTTTCCTGGATCCATGAGCTCAGGGGTGAGCATATCCATGACTCAACCCAAGCCTTGGTGGAAGAGGGTGGTACCATAATTTCTAGCAGATTGCAGGTCTAAGGGATTGTGGAGCGGGTGTGGGAGAAGGAGGGTATCTAAGAATGGGAAGGTGCACATAATGGTGTGAGGTAACACCCATGTGTAAACTTGACCCTGTGCTGAAACTTGGGATGCCCCTTCTGAAAACCTCATCCTGCCTGGAGTAGTCAGACAGTTTGGACCTGGCTCAGACCTCGGGAGGGTGCAGAGTCCTCGGCTGGAAGCGATGGGGCACTGCTGCGTTGAGGAGCCTGAGCATCAGGGGCCTGTGGCAGGATTGGGGTACTCTGGCATGGCCCCACTTCCCCCCCCCCAGGTGTCTGTTTCTCCCCATCCCCGGGGTCTCCCTTTCTCTCCATCCTTAGAAAGGGCGGTACAGAGTCTGCAGCAGGGCAGCCCACTGGCCGCACACATCTGCAAGGCCTGAAATCACCATGAAGGAACTGGTGTGGATACAGAAGAGGGACACATTCCAGAAGTCTTTAGCTCTTCACCGCTCAAATACATTAATTTGAGGCAGGTTGATATTTAGAAGCAATTCTAAGAAGCCTACACACAATTCTCTGAAATGAACCTGTATCTGATTTGAACAAACTGTTACCACTAAAAGTCAGGTTATTGTACAGACACGTTAAATAAGAGACAGGGCAGGAATTGGGATGACAGCTGGAGAGTGTGGGGACGCTGGGAGGGGTGACGAAGCCAGAGAAACTAATGTTCACTGAACAGAGTAATGGGTAAAGGGGATGTGGTATGCCCACACAAAGGAATATTACTCAGTCGTAAAAAGGAGTGAAATTAGGCCATTAGTGGAGATGTAGATGGACCTAGTCTGTCATACAGAATGAAGTAAGTCAGAAAGAGGAAAACATGATATTCACATGTAATGTGGAAACTACAAAAACGGTACTGGAGAACCTCTTTGTAGGGCAGGAATAGATATGCAGATGGATAGAATGGAGTTGTGAGCCCAGGAGGGGAAGGGGAGGGTACGAAGTACCGGCAGAGTAGCATCGACATGTATGCACCACCCAGCGTAAAACAGAGAGCTGGTGGGAAGCTGCTTCCAGCAGCCCCACCCCGCCGGGCGAGGGGGCCCAGCTCCGCGCTCTGCCTGAACTAGCGGGACGGGAGGTCCAAGACGGAGGGGGTATAGGTACCCAGATAAATGATTCTCACTCAGCTGGTAAAGAATCTGCCTGCAAGCAGGCAACCCACGCCAGTATTCTTGCCTGGGGAATCCCTACGGACAGAGGAGCCTGGCGGGCTACCATCCATGGGGTCGCAAAGAGTCGGACACGACCGAGCGACTCAGCACAGCCCAGCACGTGGCCAATCCACCTCACTGCGCAGCAGAAAGCAACACAAGACTGGAAAGCGACTACACCCAGAGAAAACGCGGGGTACCGTGAAGCCGTAGTGAAACAGCAAGCATCTGTGGAAGGAAGGCCCAGAGCCCCAGAGCGGTACGTGGGCCGTGCCTTGCGCAGGACCCACCTACTAAACCCCCAGCACCGCGCTAAGGTGACTGCGTACTTCTCACAGAACCCATGGTCTAGATAGTATTTCCTACACTTTGGAGATAAAAAATCCGAAATTCAGAAGTTACGTTACTCCAACAAGATCTCTCAGGTAAACAGTAGCAGAGTTCTAATACAGGTCACCTTGATTTCAGAAGTCATGATTTTAAAAACAATTGAGGGAACCAAAATTGATTTTTTTTAAGTACATTAATGTAATTAACAATTCTCTGTTTCTTTTTTAAGTGTTTCTTTCCCACTCTGCTGATTTTAGGCAAGAGCCATTTATACCATGTCTGAGGTGGCAAGGGATTGTGCAATTATAAGGGGAAAAAAAGTCTGTTTTCTAAAAAAACCTGTGGTTTTTTTCTTTTTCTTTCTTTCTTTCTTTTTTTTTTTTAAGTTTAGGCAACTGCCTTTTAACCGTGGCCAACTAATCATCATAAACAACTCCTGGAAAAAGTTTGTATGGTGGGAAAATGGTGTGAATATGGATTAATAAATTCCAGCACACAACCAAAAATGAGAACTGGAAAAATCTATTCACATCATGTTGTAAAAGACTAGCACAGCCAAATACTTCTGGGGCAGTGTCAGGGTCCTTTAATGGACCGGAACCTGGTGGTCCGGAGCCGATGATAAGAAAGTGAAAGAGAAAGGAGCTAACATTCCCTGGTCACACAGAGAACCAATAAAGCCCCAGGACAGGGCTTGCACCGCTCACAGAGGCATGGGGCGCCCTCTCGAAGAGGTCTTGAAAGCCCGGGGAAGGAGAGTGAGCTCCGCAGGCTTCCACGCCCCAGAGAATTAGCCGGAGGGAGGGAGGGAGAGAGAGACACGGGGACCCAGGTCTCTGGTGGAGCAAGGGTGTTTTAATGATCTTTCTGTAAGTGTATAGAAATTTCTTTCTGTCGAATTTCTTTCGACAATGATAAAATCAGAAAACCAAACATGCAGCAACTGTTATCAGGGGAACAAGGAATCAACAATGGTCATAAGGTCAGAAGACAACCCATATCTCAAGAGAGAGGGTCGTGACTAAGCAGTTTTGTCGCAAGGAAGATGTTTACTGAAGGAAATCCACGCATGTGTCTCATCCTATGACCCCAGTCCTGGGAGCGGCGAGGGCTCCCCTCGTTCCTGTTACCAGGAATGGATAAGGAACAGAGGATTTATGAGGGACAGAGAACAGCACGCAGGGATCCTCCTGTTAAACGTTCGCTGACAGCGCAGCAGTAACAGGTCAGTAAAACTGGACCAGTCCTGATCTTATCATGCTGATGAAAAGTGATTCTACACACTGATACTCGCCACAATGCCGTGCAGTCGTAGGGCTGAAATAAGGGACTGCATAGGTTGACAGTGGGCTTCCCAGGTAGCTCTAGGGGTAGAGAACCTGCCTGCCAATACAGGGGACTCCCTGGAAACTGGCCACGGTTCCCAAGTAGCTTCATGTGCTTTTCCTCGAACACACGTGTCTAACTCAATTTTGTTACTGCTGCTGCCAAGTCGCTTCAGTCGTGTCCGACTCTGTGCGACCCCATAGACGGCAGCCCACCAGGCTCCCCCATCCCTTGGATTCTCCAGGCAAGAACACTGGAGTGGGTTGCCATTTCCTTCTCCAATGCACGAAAGTGAAAAGTGAAAGTGAAGTCGCCCAGGCGTGTCCGACTCTTAGCGACCCCATAGACTTCACCCTACCAGGCTCCTCCGTCCCTGGGATTTTCCAGGCAAGAGGACTGGAGTGGGCTGCCATCGCCTTCTCTGAAATTTTGTTAACTTTGCTTTATTTATTTTCATCTGTTTAAAGAAACTATTTACATTTTCTGTTTATCACTTAAATGTCCCACTTCCAAGAGTGTTTTGGTTCTAGAATATTAAGAGCACTGAGAAATAGTAGAACTTTCATTCCTCCATCCACCCATCCTTGTATTCAACATACACACCTATGTTGAGTGCCTACTGTGTGCAAATACTGTGCCCCTTACTGGGCATCACCTTAATTCAATCATGGCACAAGAGAGTGAAAGCCACATGGGTAAAACTTCTTCCCAGTTTATTGAAAAGAGAAGCTGTTGGTGGCTGACCCTGGGAGTGTTTGATAACAAGCCTGTGGTTCAACCTATCGCTTTTCCATTCCCTTCTGATCTTCCAGGCAAGCCTGCTGCACTTTAGAGGTCCTGAACAATACAGAGAAGCTTGAGTAGACTTGAGTGGGACCTTAAAGAGCTAAAATTGGGACTCTGTTTACATTTCTAACATGAATACATGCTTAAGCAAACCCTCAGCGTGAAAAAAACATATCAAATAGATTTTCTATAGATAAAAACATATTATGAATAACATTTCATAAAGTTATTTTACTCCACAGGTTTTCCAGTGACTCCATCTCCAAAACAAGTATCATATGACTTTCCCAATGTCTTACCTTGTCGCTGCTTTTCCACGTAGTGGAAAATGTTGAAGATCAGCGATATAGTCAGAGCTAAGCCCAAGAAGGCTAGAATTGCCCAGACAGAAAAGTGGCATTCAGGGCTTCCTGCAAACAAAAGCAAACAGATGCTTAGTAATACTTGCTTACTCATTTTTTCGGAACTGGGTATTCCCAAAATCAAAAGCACTGTATTTATTCAGAACAAAGGACAAATCTGTCAAGAAATAAGCTGGCATTTGTTAGTCTAGCTACTAAAGATTCCGTTCTAAATCAAGAACTTCAAATTAAGCAGAATCATAATTAGCTGCACTTATCCCCCTTTTTTAATCCTCTGTGTAGTCGTAATGCTTTCATTACTGTGGAGGATCACTTATTACCTTCTATTAATCCCAGTACTACAGGGCGCTGTGTGTTGGGATAAAAACAATAACACTGGAATCAGAGTACCCAGTTTTGTCATGACTAGTCGTGAGGGGTTTTCTCATACTATTTGGAGCCCCGAGAGATAATGGTGGGTTGATTACGGTCCTCCCTCCCCTCTGTGAAGGCCTTTCTTTATTCCTGAGCTATAACCGGTGTTTTGTGGGATACTGACATCAGCTGCCCTGGGTTATTTATGCCAATCTTGACACACAGATGAGTAACTACTAAGATAATTAGCCTAATTACAAACATATTATAAAATATAAATGGGATATATTTACATACATGTATAAAATTCAACTAATTATCTTAGTAGTCCTATACCCATGTGAATACTGACCCCAGAAAAATAGCATGTGATTCTATAATACTACATATTTGTGTATTCACTCAGTATCAATTAAACATTTCTTTGTGCCAGGAACTGTGCCCTATATTATGGAATCAAAGATAAAACAGAATCTTTGTCCTCAAGGAACTCTGTTTAGTTGGGGACATGGTTGTGTAAACACATAATTAGGAATGCAGTGTGAAAAAACAATCGCAAAATAAAGATTATGTTCCTTCATAGTCCCCACTCTCTTTCTCTCTGTGACTCCCTAGAACATTTTAAGCCCCTTCAGAGAAATCCAAATACCACGATGTTAAACACAATAAACAGTAGAGGCAAAAACTTAATAGGAGGAAAATGAGTTCTACGCCCTGAACCTACCTTTAAACCATCAAATAAAGACTCCCAAGCACAGGTGCCCTTTGTGTTGCTCTAGTTCACTTGTTTTTCGTATCTCAGATTTGACATTTGAATTGTTTAATTTCCTTCAAATTATTGACCTTGCAATGGTTGTTGAACTGCCTTCTGTGCATTTGAGTTGCTTTATTTATTTATCAGAATCATTTATTTTTAAATGAGCATAGTTAGGCATGCTGCTGCTGCTGCTGCTGCTAGGTCGCTTCAGTCGTGTCCGACTCTGCAACCCCATAGACGTCAGCCCACCAGGCTCCTCCATCCAAGGGATGCTCCAGGCAAGAACACTGGAGTGGGTTGCCATTTCCTTCTCCAATGCATGCATGCATGCTAAGTCGCTTCAGTCGTGTCCGACTCTGTGCGACCCCATGGACAGCAGCCCACTAGGCTCCTCTGTCTACGGGATTCTCCAGGCGAGAACACTGGAGTGGGCTGCCATTTCCTTCTCCAATGGTTAGGCATAGAGGTGATTAAATATATAAAATATACATTTCTGATATAGATGTACATATACATATAATTTGCATGTCACTTATTCATCTATACATTGCTTTTGTTTGAACTAGTCTGCGGGTGTTTTAGCACACCAGGAACTCTGTCTACTAATGTCTGTTATCTCTTTACTTTTGTATTACGTAATTAGATGCTCAAAATATTACAAGTCTCACAAAAGAGGGCCATTTCTGTCTTCTGTTCTGCTGTGCCAGACATATAGTACATATAGGATTTATAAAATCTTTTTAAGAATTGATAAATAGGAAAAGTTAACTGATAATGGTAGTGAAATGTGTGGTTTCATTTTTCTTTATGGGAACTTTTATATTTCATAAAGTATCAGAAAACTGAGAAGACAAAGTCTTCTGCACTAGTTTAATAGACTTAGTCTTCTGCAAATTAATTTGGTTAAAAACACTGAGATTTGGAGGGGCCTAATTTATTCATCATGTGCATAATCCCACATGTATTTATAGAATTCTATAACATAGTGAATTATCTTAAGTATATTAGAAATTCTAGTTATTTCATGATACTGCATATATTTTTAGAAGCATTTGATTTTTATGTCTAATGGTTTAAAAAAACAGGTGCTTATTGAGTACAAGTTTTTAAAAGTCTGACTATCAAAATATAGAATAATATTCAAGGCCCTCTATTTAAACATAATGGAGAAGGAAATGGCAAACCACTCCAATATTCTTGTGTGGGAAATCTCATTGACAGGGAAGCCTGGCAGGCTACAGTCCAGGAGATCACAAAGAGTTGGACATGACTAAGCAAATGAACAGCTTTAAAACATAAATAGTGAGCTTCCAAGGTGGCATTAGTTATAAAGAACCTGCCTGCCAATGAAGGAGATAAGAGATGTGGGTTCGATCCCTGGGTCAGGAAGATCCCCTGGAGTAGTAAATGGCAACCCATTCCAGTATTCTTGCCTGGAAAATTCCATGGATAGAGGAGCCTGGTGGGCTACTGTCCATGGGGTTGCAAAGAGTCAGACATGACTGAGCATACATGCATGCAAGACACTAATATCATACTTAGTAGCCTTTTAAAAAAATCCTACCAGTGTGTTTGGCAGATTTTTACCATGTTAGTATGTTACTTTTAGTGGTTACATAGAATTTCAGTAGTGTTGCAGTAATGTAAATTACATACCCAATTCTCTAAGACAGACGTTCTGATTTTTTTTAAAACATTTTTCGTTTATAAACAATAATGCAAGAAACTCTGTTGGATGCACATTTTCCACGTATGCGGGCTTATCTGCAGAAAGGTTCCTGGCAGTAGAATTGCTGGGTTAAAGCAAATTTTTAAGGCAAACTTTCAGAGCTTGATTCTTCCCCACCTCCTTTTGATAACAACCCCTTTTAGGTGGTTGGTTTAACTGTAATGAACAATGGAACCAGCAAGCTCTCTCATGCCAGATGCCTCTCAGTTTCTTCGCTGTCTCAACATGTGTGTGTATGTGCGGAGTTGCGTCCAACTCTTTGCAACCCCATAGCCCACCAGGCTCCTCTGTCCAGGGGACTTCCCAGGCAAGAGTCCTGGAGTGGGCTGCCATCGTCCCGACCCGTGGTTGAAACCATGTCTCCTGCATCGGCAGCTGGATTCTTCACCGCTGCACCACCTAGGAAGCCCGTGCTTTAATTGCCACAGTCACAATACAGGGTTATTAACTTCTGATTTCTGTTATTAAAATAATGATTTTTATTATTAAAGATTTTTCTTCCTTTCTTTTCCTTGTATATGTCCCTTTAGGACCACAGCCTAGATACAGTCTCAATTCTTCCACATTTTAAAGCAAGTTGAGCGCACACAGTCTTTTCTATTGCGGTATGTCACAACTATCATTTCAGGTTCTTCACTCAGCCAAATATAGACTCTCATCATCACCCTCTACACTCACTGTGTCTGGTGACACTTAAATAAATTAACTTTAATTGCTACAAAAAAGCCAGACTTATACAATCATCCATGTTCAAAGTTAAAAACAATTAGTAAACTCAGATAAGCTAAAAAAGGATAAGAATCAACTATAATCCTACTATCAAGAGACAGTCACTGTGAACACTTTGGTTAATGCACTTTCAAACTTATTTTCTGTGTAGAAGCTGTTTTGGTCATGAGGCATATGATTTACTTATACTGACTATACTGTTATCTGCTTCCCCCTGATAATTATACAGCACGCTTCTTTTCCTAGAAGCTAAATATCCCTTCATTTCTTTTAGCTGCCCTATATTCCACTGTATGGATTTCCCGTAATTTAATCAATCCCTTATTTTTAGACATTTAAATTGCTTCTAATTTTTAGTTATGTAAGAAATTTTGTGATGATTATCTTTAACCAAAACTATACACCCAATCTTAATTTATTTTAAGGTAAAAATTCCTGAATCTGAATTACTGGATCAAAGAATTTTGCCATCTTGACGGCCAGTGTTTGAAAACAGAGTATTAAGCAGACCCTTCTCAGGTCAGTTTGGCCTCTGTTCCCATTAGTTCAATTGGCCCTGACTTTGTGGCTCTTGGTGTTAATCCTTGCTCCGTCAATCACCGCTCTTAACCCAACTACTATCTTTACGCACACTGTTCCCATACACGCCTCTTTTCCAGAGTTTCTGGAGAAAGTTGTCCCTTTATTTTCTCTCTGGAGCCTGTGACTTAGGGCCTTCAGGAGAAGGTGGCTGGTCCTACCTCCGCCCTAAACATAGAGGACATCACACTTTTCTGTGCATATTGTGTGCTCAGGTGTGTCAGCTCTTTGTGATTCCATGGACTGTAGCATGCCAGGCTCCTCCGTCAATGGAGTTTTCCAGGAAAGAATACTGATGTGGGTTGCCATTTCTTTCTAAGGGGAACTTCCTGACCCAGGGATTGAACACACGTCTCTTGCACTGCAGGTGGATTCTTTACCACTGGGCCGCCTGGGGATCCCTTTTCTTTCTTTACCATGAGTTTTGTCATTGTTGTTGTTCAGTCACTAAGTCATGTCTGACTCTTTGCAATGCCATGGACTGCAGCCTGACGGACCTCCCAGCCCATCACTGTCTCCTGGAGTTTGCCCAAGTTCATGTCCATTGAGTTGGTGATGCTATCCGACCATCTCATCATTTGTCACCCTCTTCTCCTTTTGCCTTCAATCTTTCCCAGCATCAGGGTCTTTTCCAATGAGCTGGCTTCTTCCCATTAGGTGGCCAAAGTATTGGAGCTTCAGCTTCAGCATCAGCCCTTCCAATGAACATTCAGGGATGATTTCCTTTAGGATGGACTGATTTAATCTCCTTGCTGTGCAAGGGACTCTCAAGAGTCTTCTCCCAACACCGCAACTTGAGAGCATCAGTTCTTCAGTGCTCAGCCTTCTTTATGGTCCAACCCTCACATCCATACACGACTGCTGGAAAGACTATAGCTTTGACTAGACAGACCTCTGTCG